CCGGTGCACGCGCACCTCACGGCCCTCCTCCACCTCGCCCACCCGGGCGTGGCCCGGACGCCAGTCCGACCTCTCGTCCTGCATGACCTGCCAGCGGACGGTCCCCGTCGCGTGCATGCCGTCGGCCTCTGTGTCTCCCAGTACAGCGCCACCACTCTGTGCACCGGGACCTCCACTTGGCCACCGTCCGCGGAACGACCCGGGCGTCCCGAACCCGAGAGGCCCTCCCCTGTCAGCCTCGCCAGTCTGTCCGCCCTGGTCCCCCTCGCCCCCTTCACTGTCCTGCCCCGCTCGCCAGCCCAGGTCTTCTTCCCCGGCCGCAAAGAGGTCCGGTTGCCCACGCTCCAGCTGTGATTTGATTTTCGCCTCCATGTCGGCGTCCCCACCGCGCCCCACTTTTAGGACGCCCTCCCCTGACTCGCCGTCATCTCTGGGCGCGCTCCGCCCGCGGTCACCCAGGTGCCTGTGCACCGGCTCTCCCAATGGCTCCATCCCGACAAACTCTCCCGTCTGTCCAATCATCGGTATACGTGCAGAGCCCCTTCCCTCACCCGCGTCAGCGCCACCGAATCCGAAAGCGCCGCCGCCACCGCTGCCCGACGGCGAGCCCCGGGACCCTGCCGCCGCCATACCATGCCGTGTCCCCGCGGCCAGGTCCCGCCCGGCCTGGATGACGCCGCCGACGGCCGACGCCCCCGCGGCCAAGCCTGCGCCCACGCCAGCGCCCACAGCGGCGCCGAGGCCGAAGGCAGCGCCACTCCCCCTGCCCTGTGATGTACCGCCACCAAACTGAACCCCTGACTCGGCCCCTGCCCTCCCTGCTCCCCGGCCATGCATGCCCCCCGCCCCGGGAAACTTCACTTCTCTCCCGCCATCCCCATCCCTTCCTATTCTACCATGCAAGTCTCTCGGCCCGGAGAATTTGAATTCTCCCTCCTGACCCATGCTCCCGCCACCAACACCGCCCCTCATACCCCCCGCATCAGGGAACTTCGCCTCCCCATCATGACCCCCATTACCCCCCATCCTACCATGCATCCTCCCCCTCCCTCTTCCGCCTCGCTCTACACTCCCTACCTTCGTAGACCCAACGGGCAAACCGCTCCCCGGAATACCACCCATCCTATTACCAAAGTCCCCTCTACCATGTGGTATACCAGGCAGTCCTCCGGACATGTCGCCAAACATTCCACCGTGTCGTCCGGATCCACCCATGGGTCCACCGGACGTGTTAAACATTCCACCAAATCTTTTGCCCATGTCACCCATCCCGGAAGGCATTCCGGGGAATCCTCCGGACATATTTCCGAACATCCCACCGAGCCTCCCGAACCCGCCTCTGGATCCACCGGACATGTTGAACAT